ATCTAAACCCAAACACATTTTTCACAAACATTTCGTCCATTCGCATACTTGTCCGTCCTTCTAGCTTTTAAGTTGGACTTTACTTGCGTCTTTTAACTGTTGTTAATGATGATGAAGATGACGACGATGATTATGCTCGCTCTCGCTACTAAGCTTGACGAAGTGGAAGCTATGGGAGAGCGTCGGGGCAGAGGGCAGTATTATTTTTCTTCTTCTTAAGTATAATTTCGTTTTATATGTAATTTTTTTATATATTTTTTCATTTTGGCTTTTGATACCACTCTAGCTCTTCTTTATGTTTTTATAAGAAGTACTTTAGCTTTCTGTTTGTGGTTAAAGTCGCCTGATATGCTTATATTATATATGTTTATATATGGTATATGTACATAAGTATATATATATATATATATATATATACATATATATGCGCGCGCGTATGTGTGTATTTATATGCATATACACACATATATGCCTCTGTTAATATGAAAAAAAAAAAGAAAAGGAAAAAAACAAAAATGCTACGCATAACTGTTTTCAATTCTCTTTTTGCCTTACACTTATTTGCAAAAACTTTTGGTGCTGTTGTAACTAAAAAAAAAAAAAAAAAAAAAAAAACACAAAAAAGCATAAACAAAAAAAACCAACCTTTATCAAACGATTTCAACATTTGTGCACTAGTGTTCATGTTTACCATTGTATATGTGCAATTGTATTATTTACTTTTATATGCTTGCATATCTCTTATACAAAAAGGAAAATATTAAATAATATAAAAAGAGAGAGACAGAGGGACAAAAGAGAAAATAATATATATATATATATATATATATATATATATATATCTAAAAACTTTTTGTGTTTTGTAATATAAAAATAAAAAGTTTTTTCTTTTTTCACATAAGAAATAAAATCAAAACTTTTCTTTACTTTGAACTATTGCGAGCGTTTTTGTTTTTTTTCATTTTTCTTTTTGTGGATAAATCATATAACATAGAAAAACTTATAGCATTTCTAAATTATTCGTTACGTGTTAAAGACGGAGAGAGGAGAGTAATTGAGAGCAAAAAAATCGCAATCGTTGTTGATAGGAAAAACCGATAATGTTCGATGAAATGATTAACTATTATGCATTATATATATATATATATATATATATATATATGCATTATTGTGATCAGAAAAAGATTGTCAAAATGTGCATTTTTTTGAATAAAATAAAAAAAAAAAAAATCTTTCATCTTTATTGCCTTCATAACGTTCATCAAACAATATTGTTGTTTGTTAACCGTTTGAATTGATGAAAGAAATTGATAACAACAACAACAACACGATAATTAAGATGAAGTTGGTTGATTAACCGTAATTCGCGCTGCTATTTTTTTTTTTTTTTTTAGGCTTGATTCACCTTTTGCACAATATTTTTATTCGATTGGTCGGTTTTTCCGCTTAGTATGCGCCGATTGCTGAACGATGATGTCCATTGTTTCGGAGACATGATAAAGAAAAAACCCGTAGAAAAAACCCCCACTTTTATATGTTGATAAAAAACACGTGCAACTTTGCATCGCATGGAACCCTACTATGCACATGACACAGACATTATCGTCATATCTCAAAAAAAAAAAAAAGAAAAAAAAAAAAATTTCACAATTTCATAGTAATGGCGAAGTTTAGACGGATATATCAGTTTACTTTTTATTCGTAGTGTTTTACATTTATATGTACAAGTGTGCGTGGGCGTTCGATGACAGCGAATTTAGGTTCAGAAGAGTTTGGACCAGTGATTCACCACAATTCAACCCAAAGGGTATGTGAAAGTGATATCAAAAATCATTGTAGCCACCACCTGTTGGTTATGCTTGATTGTGATTGCTGTGAACAGGCGGTAATAAAAAACAGAAACAATTCACAAATACACATGCGTGCATAAAGCAGCGTGATGGGTTGTTCTTGTTGTTAAGCTCTCACGTTCAGTAAATTGGGAAAAATTTCAAAGGCAACGGTTGCCACCTGCCCGCGCACGAGCAAAAAGATCCTGACTTTGCAATATCGAAGCTTAGACATGGAAAACTTATTCAGCTTCAAAATCGCTGGCAGCTGGTACAAGCTCTACACATCCTGGTGATATCTGGTGGTGCTATGTGCTATTGTTCTCATTTATTGTGGTGTTTTTGTTTTTTTTCTTACTTACTCAAGTAATTAGTGAAACTTATCTTCTTTTAATTGTTTTATAATTTTAACAAAAAACAAAGCAAAAAAAAAAAAAAAAAAAAACAGAAAAAAAAAAATAAATAAAGAAAAGATTTTTCGCTAAATAACAGTAATTTGGTATTTCATTTTTTTTTTTCTTATTTTGTTTTTTTTTTTTTTTTTTTAAATCACACCGATAAAAATTTAAAAAATATTTTTTTTTTTGTTTTTTTTTTTTAAAAAAGCAACACTGCTTGTCACCTTATATGCTTTTCCTCATTGTAAAAATTTTCTCAATTAATTGATTTGATTTTTGTTTTTCTCTTCGTTTTTTGCTGCGATCACAACAACCCTCTCTCGGGGTAAGTTGTATGTCGGCCTATATAAGTCAAAACCAAGCAAACACGAAATATTGAGCTTTTGTCGTCCATCCATTAAATGCATTGTATGTTATGCATATATATGCTTTCATATTTCGTTAACACATTATATAAACAAACGTTTTAATCAATCGATCAAGAAGAAAAAGATTTCTCATTAAGACGAGCATTCGATTTTTATCATTTTGTTTGTTGAGGTTATGTTATACAGCGTCTGACTTTTGAATTTGTCAAATTTCGTTTATTCATTCACTCAGCAGGGAACCAGAGATTCACTTGCATTTATTTGTAAATTAGCTAAATTTCCTAAATAAGCTCACTAAGCAACGAATGATAGCGAAACATCTTATCTTCTCATTGGCTCCATGGCATAGAAGTGAACAAATTACACGTCATTCTACGATTCAGTTCCGTCTTTTTATCATATTTTCAGTATAAATTAGAAGAGAATGAGGACTGATGGACTGCTGCCGTCATCATTGTAAGCGAGCAAGAAAATTGTTCACTGTTCAAGGTGTTCGCCTGCCTAAAAGTGCCCGCATGTGAAGCTCAATGTGGCGACTTCAGTATTCAAATTTCATATCATTCCAAATTGTAACGAAAAGTTGCGAAGTTGTTTCAATAATGGATGATATGGATAACGGGTAGTGTTGGGAAAGAATCGTATGGCGATCGAGAGAGTTCCGAGGGGTATGTCTTTGAGTGTTTGTTCTTTACTAATTCATGATTGGAGGAACGTTGTCTGACTTAAACTGTAGTCAGTCATCAGCTTAAAAAGATTTAATTTTTCATCACGTTCCCTGAGAATTCGTGTGACGTGGAAGAGGAGAGAGGAGACAAGGTTATGAAAGAAAATCATTTCAGCCTTTCTTCATAAGAATTATACGTTAATGAAGATAAACGGATTAACGGAAAAACAATCTAACTTGGGACAATAGGTTAGAACTTTGTGAGTCATTTTATGAAAATAGACGCTAAAATTGAAGCGACTTAACTCTTCAAATGTAATTTGCTTTGGCTTTGGTTGGTATCATCCAATTTCACCTCACCTAGCATAGTAAGGTAAAACGACCGTCGGTGCTCGACAGTTTCTTAAGCTATGCAATATGCTAACCCATATAAATATATTTAAATGCAAACAAGGTGAGTGAGTAAGTGAAGCGTACATTTATTCCCCCATCTCCCAATAATCTTTCTACGCCAACAACGTGGACATGATTTCAGTGGCTGAGGAAGAACAAGAAATAAAGCGTGATACTATTGATCTGAACGAACGATACCTTACTATAGATAAAATGCCCGACTCACAAACACAAGTCGCTAAATCCAAGAGATCTTCTTAAGAAAGGGATAAATTCATAGAACTTGATACAGAATTGTGGCAAGGGTTTAACGTGGGTTCCTGCCTGAAAGGCTTAACCCCACGGTGGCCCAAGACACTTCAAGCGTACTACGACCCCTGGCGAGTTAGACAATTCCCACAGAGTAGGGGCCTAAACAGCGCCAGAGTCCAGAACGGTTTATTGTGTATGGAACAATAAACCCTACTCTGGTCAATGGTGAGGCCTAGCTGCACTCAAATTGTTCCATTTTAGCTAGGAACTCGCCAAGAACTTGATACAGCTGGACATGCGAAAAGCTAACAAGTTAGTAGAGTCCATTCAATCTTACACACACACACACACACACACAGATACACACAGATACACAAACACAGCCACGAAAACTTTAACGAAATATTTTATTTGGCAGATAGTAGTGCACGAAGCACACATGTAGCGTAGTTGTGCTGAGTTTTTAACACTTTTCGCAACATTTCAAGGACTCGTCACAAAAATTCCAAAAAAAAAGTTTAAAGCGAATTTATTGCTAAACATTTGCAATCAATTAATGTCTTGGCATTGCGTTATATATATGTATATATATATATATAATCATATATATATATATATATATATATAGGTAGTTATTTGGAATGATTATTAATTGAAAATTAAATTTAAAAAAAAATCGTTCTCTCTCTCTCGCTCCTAATAGTTTAAATACATTAAATACGATCGCGCTATTATAGGCGAACAGAAAAAAAAAAAAAAAAGAAAAACATTCAAACACACTTTCGATAGCATTAATAAAATTTCATCACTACGTTTCATCATATGCCCATATACATAATGTACATCTATATATATTTATATAATGTAAATGCATCTGCATATATACAGATGTGTATATATATATGAACAAACTTACGAACTCTGTCTCTTTTTGTTTATATCTGTTAAGTATTATGTTTTTTTTCTTTGTTTTTTGTTTTCGTTTGACGTGAGGATTGACTGCATCTATGTACGTATATATATATATATATATACATATATATATATATATGAATGAATATTGAATGTAATGATACTAATATTACTCATTACATACCTGGGTAAATTCGCTAAATAACGCGATTGTTTTTCACGTCTCAATTCATCGGTTAAACGACAATAGGTATTGTTAATGCAAACACTTCGTCTTAAATTCGTTTCCGAATCCTTAATGCGTTCCAATTTATGAGCGCACAGCTGTAAAATGCGTTTACGTTCTTCGCGTTGTCGCAATTTTGGTGAAATCATTGGCACGCGCGAACGATGATGATGATAACCGATAGGTGGTGATGAACGTGGAGGACCAAACATGTCCGAATCATCATCACAACCATTTACGGGAGTAACGCTAGGCAAGGTCATCTTCTCGCTATGTATGACTGACTTGTTTGCTTTTTGCTTGGTTTTTTTTTTTTTTTTGTTTTTTGTTTTTCTTTCTTTCTTTTTTGTTTTTTTTGTTTTTTTTTACGTTATGTATGTGCGCTGGTAAAGTGAGAAAAAAGCAAAAAAAAAAAAAACACAAACAAACAACAACAAAAATGATAAAACAAAGAGTTGCTCCGCGTAAAAGGAGAAGGAGAGAATGCGTTGTTTAGTGTTCAGTAGTTTAAACTCTCGCGTTAAATGATAACTTAAGTTAGAGGAAGAGAGTAAAGGAGAATTTTGGTTTGTTTTTTTTTTTCTTTTCTTTTATTATATATAGAAAATCCGTTAGTTATGGAGCGATTATGTTTTTGTTTTTTTTAACTTTTGCTCGGCTTTAAATGCTTGAGTATGTTGAGTTTGCGTTTTGTGTTTTTTAAGTTGTTGTTGTTGTTGTTGTTGCTACTTTTTATTGGTGATAATTGTTTAACGTTTTAGCATATCATCCGAAGTGGGTAAGTGTATGGCGCTGTTTGAGTGAATTTTTCCGAATCCCTTTCTTAGCTTTTGGTTTCTTTTTTTTTTGATTTTTTTATCATTTAGAGAAAATATTTTTCCTTTTCAGAGTTTTTTTGAAACAAAACTCGTTTGAGCTAATTCTTTTTCTGCTTTTTTTTTTTTATTTATTATTTTCCTTGACAGAGCGTTTGCAAATTATATCGAGATGATGCTGTTGCTGCTTCTGTTGTTGTTGTTATTATTATTATTATTATTTTTGTTGTTACTGTTTCTATTGTTGCCCTTGTTGTTGTATTTTGATAATTGGCAGATAAGTTTTTGTTTTTTGTTTTTTTTTTCTTCTTCTTGAGGCAATTTGTGTATTTTTGATTTTCTGTTGTTTAATTTTTGGTTATTTTGTTGTTGTTATTTGATGTCTTTTATAAAATTGTTGTTGTTATTTTTATTATTATTGTTGTTGCTTTTAGTGATTGTGGCTATATAACAAAAGCAAGGTGAACTACAATTTGTATTTTTATGTACAATAGTTTTAAATAATTCTTTTTTTTTTTTGTATATTTGGTAAAGCGTGTTTTGTGTTAAATATTCTAAGAGTTAATCAAATAAACATAATTTCATGGGTAATAATAACACAAATACGTTGTTTTTCAATTTTCAAATAATTCAAAATTAGTTTTTTATTTTTCAATTTTCTTTTTAAGGCTTTATTTTTTTCTTTAAAAATGTATTTGAAAAAGAAGAAGAAGAAAAAAAAGTTTAAGCATATCTCGTACACTTTTACAGTTAAACAGTTAAACTGTTTTTCTTTCTCTTTGTTTTTTTTTTTTTTTTTTTTTTCAACTAATAACTTTTCATTAGTTTAAGGAAAATTCAAAATAATCCAGGGCTTTTGAATTTTCTTTTAGTTTTTTTTTTTTTTTTTTTTTTTTTTTTTTAAAT